TGTCCCGGCGTGGCAGGTGGCCCCCCGGGCCTCCTGCTTCCGGCTCCTGCCAGCGCTGTGGTCCCCACACTTGCCGACCCCCCTGGAGGACCCGCGGAAGCCTTTTCTCTGCCTTCAGAGTCCAGCTCCGACCCACCTCCTCCCTCTGGAGGCCCAGATCCCCCGACGGCGGCAGATGCCTTCCCCACTTCAGCCACAGCGGCGGCCACAGCTGCTCCTGCTTCTCTCCTTCATGACACTGACCACGAGGCAGATGCAGTTAGTTGGTTCCCCTGGCTCCCTGGACCCTGCTAATCCCCTGGCCCTGTGCGGGATGAGGCCTGGCACCTGGCTGTTACTTAGCACCCAGCAGGCCCCCACACTGGGGCAGGTGATGGCCCCGGCGTCCAGCGGCACACATCCTCTGTCGCACGATGAGACATCTGCCCACCGGCCTGAGCCTCGTACATCTGGGTGGTCCCCACTGCAGCCAGTGCCTGGTTAATACCTTGGGGGTCCCTGTGTGTTCTTTACCTCAGGGGTCCCTGGAAGTGCCATGTCAGGGACATGTGCATCACAAATGGCCCTGCAGACGCCATAGGTGGACACTTGGCGTGGGTCAACACATTCCCAAGCACAGGTGGAGGGGCAGAGGACCAAAGGGGGTGGGCAGGTACAGGAGGGTGGGACCGGAGGGCGGTGGTCCTAGCCAGGCTGGGTGCTGAGCCAGGCTGGGTGCTGAGCTCCGGAGCAAGGTGTTAGGTTTCAGCCTGGGAGGCCGTGTGAGTCCCTGGAGATGGTGCTCAGTGCTGGGGACCTGGAGATTAGCATGGCAGGCGGAGGGACACTGATGAGGGTGGGATGGGGTCTCCGCTGGAAGAGAAGCTGGGGATGGGCAGGCGAGGGATGCTGTCGGAGGCACAGAGGATAAAGCACGATGTGGGAGGGTGGCCTCTGTGCCGGCTGCTCCAAGACCACCTTGGTTTTGATAAACACGGGAAAATCAGTATTCTCTGTGGCTTGTGTTCTCCACAGAGATGCTGAAGGCCCAGCCCTGTCCCTGTGAATGTGACCTTATCTGGAAACAGGCTCATTCAGATCCTGCTAGTTAAGGTGAGATCATAGTGGACTAGGGTGGGCCCCAGTCCAGACCGACCAGTGTCCCTGTAAGAGGAGAGAGACAGACACACACACGCAGTGGAGGAGGAGTGACAGCAGAGGCAGAGGTTGGAGGAAGCCAAGGATAACCAGCCCTCGGCAGAAGCCAGGGGAGCAGGGAAGGGCTCCCCACACATGGTAGCGCGGGCCTGGCCTTGCTGACACCGCTGTGCGGGGCTTAAGGCTCCCAGGAGTGAGAGACCTGCTTCTGTCGCTTAAGACCCCAGCTGTGGTCAGTTGCTAAGCCACATGGGATGCTAATGCAGTCAGAGCTGGGAAGGTGCCAGGCAGTGCCAGGTGCTTTCACTGTCACATCTCATTGGTGTCCCTGCAGCCCAGGTAGTAGGCATCCTCCTTTCACAGACAAGGATGTGGGCTCAGAGAGGCAAAGCCTCTGTGCCAGTGACCCAGCAGCTGAGCAAGGGGGCCGGTGCAGACGCACCTGCTGAGCTGCGGAAGGGGAGCAGCTGAGAGAGGGTGTTGGTGTGTGCTGTGAGGGGCTGCTGGCTGGTGCGGAGCCATGGCTGAGGACGGATGCAATGAGAGGCATCCTCTTTTCCAACTGCGAGGCGTGGGGGCTTCCAGGTGGAGGTGTCCAGCATGCCGCTGGTGCTGAGTGTTGAGTGCTCAGGATAGGCCAGGACTGTACCTTAAGAATCCTTGCCCAGGCACCGGGTGATGTCTCCATCTCTCCAGGCCTCAGGTTTTATGCCCTGGAAAAGGTGTTGATGCTCCCTTGCTTCAAAGTCACCTTGAACGTCTGTACTATGTGCCACAAAGCTCGCAAGCCCTTGATCCCATTTGTTTCTCCCTTTTCGAGTAACACAGCAAATGAAGGTGTGAGTAAGCACGCCTGCTCCTGGCACCATGATGGGTGAACCAGCTGGGTGGGGAACCAGGCTGGCACGTGCAGCGGGGGCTGAGCCGGGAGCCAGGGCCGGGAGCGGGGTGGGCCTGCGCAGGGCCTTGGGGAGGCAGCAGACAGACTGAAGCCCTCTGGGACTGTCACCACTTCCCCTCTGGTCAGAGGCCCCCACACCGCCTGATGAGCCAGGCTGCCAGTGGGGCTCGGGCTGTGCAGGGCGGCGGGCGGCTGGAGGGTGGGCCCTCTCGAGGCGCAGCAGGACTGTGGCTTAGAGCCGGAGGGTCCTCCAGGCACCCTCGGTGTGCAGAAGAGCACGCTTCTCTCAGTCATCACGGCTTCACTCGGGTCCCCCGCCCTGGCAGGGGCACAGGTGTAGAAGGTGGGGTGGAACTTTCTACGCTGTGGGTGGCGACCCATTTGCGGGCATGCAAATCAGTTCAGTGGGTCACAGCAGCATTTGTTATGTAAAAAGCTGAATGGATTGGAGAGATAGCAGAGTTCCTCACCAGTAATAAGGGAAAGTACTGGTTAGTGAAAAAAACGCGTTACATCTTTAGGTACCATATAAACTGTCACTGTGTGCGGCACACTGGAAACTGGCCTTTCTGAAATACATGGTGTCATCCGCGGCCTTATTTGGAAGAAAGAGTCTTTGCAGATGGGGTTGAGGTAAGGATGCTGAGATGGGGAGGTGATCCTGGATTATCTGAGTGAGCCCCAAATGCAATCACAATGGGAAGGGGAGGCAGAGGAGGTCACGGACAGCCACAGAGAAGAAGGCAAGGTGACCAAGGGGATGGAGTTGGGGTGACGCAGCCACAGGCAGGAAGCACAGTCTCCGGAAGCTGGAAGTCGGTCACAGCAGCCGCAGGAAGTTCAGACGCTGGAATAAACAAGCCAGTCCTCAGCGGCAGTCGGGCTGGCCGGGGCTCTGCTACACATGGCACCATCCTCCTGGGTCATCAGATGGGCCCGGATGGTTCCGTTCCTATAAAGGCAGGAGCAGAACAGGGGCTGGCGGAGGCGGGTGAAGCCAAGACTCAGAACCAGCCCACCGCATGACCCCCACAAACGTGCCGATGGCCACAACTATCACATGTTTGCCATGTGAGCGAACAAAGTTATGGGACAGGAAGACACCCCCTCGCCCAGCTGCCTTGAGGAGGGTGAGGATACAGAGAGAGCTCAAACCTCAGTCACCCCACGGGTATGCACACCTGTGCGTGCAGGGCCACGTCTGACCTGCATGTTGCTTTCTGTGTGCTGAGGTCGGAACAGTCTGGAAGCCACTGGCCAGTGACAGAGAACCAGCTCCAAGCACACGTCCCGGATGCCGTTGACCTCAAGGCTCACGGTTTTCTGGGTGCTGGTCTGCCTCTCCGTGACTTCCTGGGAAGCTTTCTGCTGGGGCAGGTCGCGCACCTCCCCGGAGCAAGGCCTGCCCTCTCTGACCTCACACAGACTGCCCCCTCTGCCTGGTGTGCGTGACCAGCTGCTCCTTGGCCTCTGTGTCCCTGTGGGGCTCTCCTCCAGGGCTCCCCCCTCAGGTCCCCAGAGTGCCCACTGCCCAGGGGAACCAGGGCACCTGTCACACCCCATGGGCCCCTCAACCTCCACCCAACTCTCAGGCTCAGTACCTACAACCCCTGTGCTTACCAGAGCTGGTTCCGTCCTGCCTGTGTCTCTGCCTCAGTTTCCTCTTGGGGAAGTAGGGCCGCGGCAGCTCCTGCCTCAGGTCTGAGGCAGCCAGTGGACTTGCTGAGCCCTCAGCCGGGTGTTGTCACTGTCCTCACTGTTCTGCCCTGAGCTGGGCAAGGAGCCGCAGGGCACCGACTACAGACCCAATGAACGGGACTCGCTTGCCACTTAGGCCCTGAGATCGAGGCTTCGGGCCAGCATGACTAATGAGGGTGAGATCAGGCATGCTGGGTGAGGGAGCCCCCACTCTGGCCCCCGGCTGCCCGCACCCGCTTTAGAGCCAATGGCATAGGGTATTTTCTCTGGGTGCTTTTGAGGGGTCACTCGGCCCACGCAGGGCCACTCCACGGGCCGAGCAGTGTGAAATGTGACTTGTGTTTTGGGGTGTGGCCCAAAGTCTCTTTCCTGCGGGATCCTGGCCTGGTTTTCTAAGGACTGGGTTTGCATACATCCTGCACACCACTGACCAGGACAGTGCCTGTGCGTTCTCTGCAGCCACAAGCTGGGTCCAGGCAGCACCTTGTGCTACACGGCTGGCCAGTCAGATAAGTTTCTATCTCGGAGATCTTAAAGCTGAAACTAGCAGAGCGGCACCTTGGAGAACAGGGGATGCCATGGGGCCATGCAGTAGCCAGGTCTGGGCAGGGGCCCAGTGCTGCCGTTCATGCCCAGGGGCCTCCCATCAGTTACCTTAGTTTCACAAGCCTCAGTCTCCCCTCTGGCACACTGGGGCTATGTCTTGGGCTAAGTAGGTCCCCCTAGTATTCATGCCCACCCAGAAGCTTAGCTTGTGACCTCATGTGGAGTAAGAGTCTTTGTGGATGTAATTAAGATAGGGATGGAGATGAGGTCATCCTGAGTTGGGGGGTTGCCCTGAATCTCAACTTTGGTGTCCTGATAAGAGAACGGTCCGTATGGGCACACAGGAGGCAGCCATGTAAAGGCAGTGGCAGAGACTGGATCGATGCCAACACAAGGCCAGGAGTGCCTGAGCCCCCAGGAGCTGGAAGATACAGGAAGGAGCTGTCCCTGGTGCCCTGGAGGGGGCAGCTGTGCCCACACCTTAATTTGGAGCTTCCGGCCTCCAGACTGAGAGCCTGAATGTGTCATGAAGCTTTGCATGTGTTTTTGGGGTTGCTAGGCAGCCCCAGGGCCCTGGCACGGGCTGCAGCTGCGACCACACCGGGCCCCAGGGGGCGGGTAAGCTCTCTCCTGCTGCCCCTGGCACACGCTGGCAGTGAGTGGGGCTGGCCCTCCCCACACCTGCCCAGTGCCCCACGCAGCTTTTCAAAGTCCCTTCCCTGATGCCTGGGAAACAGGTGCATCTCTGGAGCGTGGTGGGAGTCTATTTCAGTGAGCTGGGAAGGGAATGGGCCTGGCGCCCTCGGGCGTGAGGGTGGTGGCTACCACGTGACCCTCTGACATGCTGTCCAGATCCACGCCGGCCACAGAGCCTCTCCCACTCATCCAGCTGCTGTCCGCAGCCCCACAGTGCCCACGTTTCACGAGGAGGCCGTGCTCCATGGGGGTACCCGGAGGGGAGACAGGTAAAGCCCCAAACTGCCTTTTAGCTGAGACCTTCTGGCAGGGAGGAAGGCTGGTTTCTCTAGCTGGAAGTCTTGAGTCCTACAGGTAAGCTGTGGGGGTCTGACATGAAGGGGGCCGCCTCACTGAGCTGCCGTTTATGACTGTAGTGAGGAATCGGCGCTCACGAGCGCCCACATGGGTCCAGCTTCGGGGGCTTTCTTACGGACTCTTGACCATGTCCCTGTGGACTGACCCAGTTTAACAGGTGATCTGCTGAGGCTCAGGGAAGGGGAGGTTCCGGTCCAACATTACACAGTGGTGGGCATCAGAGGCAAGAGTGAGCTCCAGGGCCCTCCGACCCCGCTGTCTGGCCAGGAGTCCTGGGGCCGCAGCCGTGGCACCTGCCGTCTCCCCCATTCCTTCCTCCAGGGCAGGGATTCTCCACCAGGCTGGTCTTGCTCTTCAAGGGACATCTGGCAATGCTGGGAGGCAGTTTGACTGTCACGACCCCGGGAGGGCGTGCTCCAGGTGCCTGGCGGGTGGAGACCAGGCCAGCTGCCCAACATCCCCCAACACACAGGATGGCCCCCCAGAAAAGAGCTGTTGGGCCCAGAATGCTGGCTGAGCCTGAGTGTGTGGGGGCTCTGTCCTGGGCCCTCACCCTGCAGCTCCTCACCTCCATCCCGAAATGCACCCCGGGTCCTGGCTTCCGTCCGGCACTGGGTTCAGTGCTCAGTGGTCGTCTCACGTCTGGACAGCTGGGACAGCACCTCTCATCCCCACGTCATCCATGTCTCCCCAGCGGGCTGCACACCCCAGGCCTTCTGTGGGAGGGGGGAGCCCTTGGCTGTGGCAGCCACAATGGCCTAGAAGCCAGACAGTGAGCTTCCAGCCCTGGCTCTGGCCTCATCTCACTGTGTCCTGGTCAGGGCACGTAACCACTCCTGGGGGCCTCAGCCACCTGTACAGAGGGGCCAGTTATGGCTCCTGCCTCCCAGGGTGTGTGGGTGAGCACAGCAGACACTGGACATGTGTTTCCCCAAAGCCGGTAGCTGTGGGGGCCCTCCGGCTAGCCAGCTACACCCCTGGGGGACTTCCTGGGGTAGCTGACCTTAGAGCACCAGTTGGCTTGGGGTCAGAGAACATCCCTCTGGCCTGGTCGGTGTACTGGATTGCTCTGAAAATACCAGCAATTCTAAGAGCTGAGACATGTGACTCCGTCCACTTCTCAAATGGAATTTCCATGCCGGGGCTGGGTGGGTCTCCCCGCTCAGCCGAGTACACCATGTCCTTCCCACCCTGGGTGTTCTTACCAGGTGGTGCGCAGTAACGCTGAGGGGGAATGCAAACAGTAGGGACATTGAAAATGACATAAATCCAGTAAATGAGCACCATTGTTCCTGATTCACAGGTGAAGAAATGGCATCTTGTGATAAACATAACAGTAAGGGAAATGTGATTCTTTTTATGTAGAATTACGGTAAGGGATAAAACTAAAACTATAAAACTCTTAGAAGAAAACATAAACATAGGGATAAATCTTTGTGATCTTGGATTAGGCAATGGTTTCTTAGAAATGACACCAAGAACACAAGCAAAAACCAAAACAGATATAAACTAGATTTCATCAAAATTCAGCACTTTTGTGCTGCAAAGAACACTATGAAGAAATGAAATAACTCACAGAATGAGAGACAATATCTCAACCATGTCTGATCGGGGACTTGTATCAAGAATATATAAACAGCTCTCATAACTCAATCATATAAGACAATCCAATTAAGTGAACAAAAGATCTGAATAGACATTTCTCCAAAAAAGATTTACAAAAAGTGAACAAGCCCATAAAAAGATGCTAAACATTAGCCATCAAGGAAATGCAAATCCACAATGAGATACATCACACCTGCTAGGATGGCTACAATCAAAAAGGCAATAACCAGTGTTGACAAGGATGCGGTGATTTGGACCCCTCAGTCCTGCTGGTGGGAGTGAAAAATGATTCGGCTGATCAGGAAGCCAGCCTGGCCGGCCTTCAGATCGTCAAGCACAGTGTTACCATGTGAGCCAGCCATTCCCTCCTCGGTGTGTCCCTAAGAGAAATGGACCCGTGTCCACGCAAAGGGCTTGTGCTTGAGTGCTGACAGGAGCTTATTCCTAGTAGCCAAGAAGTAGAGACAACCCGAAATCTTCAGCTGAGAAATGGATACATGTGGTGTGGTCCCATAAGGGAATATTACTTGGCCATAAAAAGGAATGAAGTGCTGACACATGCTAAAATGTGGACAAACCTTGAAAGCATGATGCTCAGTGTCAGAAGCATCACAGGAGATGACATATTGCATGTTCTATTTATGTGAAATGTCCAGAACTGGCAAATCTGGAGACAAGAAGTAGATTATCCGATGCCAGGGGCTGGCGGACGGGGGAGTGGGGAGTGACATAATGGGCAGGGGACTTCCTTTTGGGCGAAAGTCCTAATACTGATTGTGGTGACTGACACACAGCTCCATCAATGTGCTGAAAATCATGCAATTGTTATGTTTTAAATAGGTGAATTGTATGGTATGTGAATTATATCTTGAAAGAGCTGCTGTTTACTGACGCCTTCTGCAGAGCTGGGTAGGTTCTGTGGAGGTGCTCAGGATATTGTTTTAGAGGGAGCACATTCCCACGAAAAGAATCATGCTCTATTATATCATGTTCTGTCGTATCATATCAAGGGCATGTGTGTGCATATGTATATAGGTGCGTTATTTTTGCTGTGTATACCGAACTGCACAGTGGAAAGACCACTGAGATGCTAACGGGGGGAAGGCCATGTCAGGGTAGGAGATTAACAGAGGATTTTAATTTTTCTTCAGCCTTTATGTACTGCTTGGGTTTTTAATAATGAAGTGTTACTCCTATAATCATAAGGAACTATTTCTGTCATTAAAACCAGAGGAAGCCTTGTCTCAGGAGGCAGGCAGTGGCCCCAGGCTGGGCTCCCGTGCAGCACTGTCTGGCCCCAGAAGGCCGTACCTCTTGGCCTGTTCGCATTGAGCCAGGACCTGTCACCGCAGACGGCCTGTGGGACAGGCATCAGTGAGCCCTGGCCTTCCTGAGTTTAGAGGCCAAATATGGCCTGTGGACACTGGTCTGTGTGCTGGGCCCTGTTGGTACAAATAGATATGAAAAGCCCGCTGGAGCCCAGGGTTGGGAGCAGGGCTTGAGTGTGCCCATGCGTGTCGCCCTGGTGCGGCGGACACGGCCCGTGTGTGCTCTTGCTGCCTGGCTCAGCTTCCCTCTGCCCCGGGCCAGCACTCCAGATGCCCAGTTTTGATTGGACACCAGGACATGCTTCTGCCAGCACCAGCCTTCCCTGGATGCACATGTGGGGAGCCAGGAGGGGAAGGGGAAAGGCCAGAAGAAACAGAACACCGGTCCTCTTACACAGAGACTGGGCCTTCCCCACCCCACCAGGTACAGGCTGCGTGATCTTGCCAAGTTCCCAACCATCTCTGAGCCTCAGTTTCCTTACCTGCAGCATGGGGGCGGTAAGGCCTTTCATGCACGCTGGTGGCAGGACTGGAGTCAAGGTGCCCACATAGGGATGGGGACATCTGCCCAGCTGTCCTTGTGTCCACCCTGAGCCCACCTATGCTGGCACCACCTGTTTTCTCATTTGCTTTTAGAGCCAAGAATGATAGCAGGGCCTCTATCCCAGCCATAGCTGTGCCGTGTCCAGCTGAGCCCGGGTGGAGATGCCCCATTGTGACGGCACCCTGCAGAATGCCTGCAAGTCGGGTGAAACTGCCTGTGTCTCCAGGAAGGAGGAATCTTTGTACAGGAAGCCCACATGTTTCCCTTTGGGAGACATACCCATTGATACCCTTGAGGTGCCGCCGGAGGCCTGGGTGCTGGGAGCCCGACAGTTACAGGCTAGTGGGGTGCCTTGTGTTAGTGGTGTCACTGTCATGCACATTCTCAAACTCTCTCTGCTCATTGATGCATTGACAGGTGTGGGATTTGGAACAGGAAGGTGGGCTTGGCTCGCAGTGCCCACAGGCAGCACAAAAGAGGGAAACGTGGGTGTCTCAGGGAGACAGTGGGGACAGACTGTTCCCAGGGCCTTCTCCAAAGCCACAGGCTGGCCCCAAACCGATGCACCCGCGATTACCCTCCCCGGGCCTCGCAGTCCTGCAGAAGGGGGAGTGACGGCTCAGAGGGGCAGAGGTGCGGGTTGCCCGTCAGAGGCAGGAACAGGGCCCTGGAAGCCTGGCCAGGCCATGCCGCAGGCTCCCCTTCCCTCCACGGATTCAGCCTGTGTCCACACAGCCACCCTCCCAGCCTGGTGGCCTGGTGGCCTGGTGTCTGGCATGGTTGAGGATTCTGTGGCAAGGATGTTCAGGCCCATACTGAGACCCCATCATTAGCAGTGCAGATCACGAAAGGGCCCTTGATGGTCACGGTCTGTGAAAATGTGATGGTTCTAGGACTCAGCCACCCTGCTGGTCTGGAATCCCGACATGTGCCAAGGACAGAGGAGCCACAGCACAGGACCCTGAGGAGCAGGTTGGGAGATTTTAAGTTGAATCTTGGAGCAGAGCCAGCATTTCCCTGTGGGGGTTATAGGCTCCAGCACAACAAGACACTTTATGAGTTGGGAAAGGGTCTCTATGCGCCGTGCAAGCGCCTGTGGGGCCAGAAGTGTGCGGCCACCAGGTCAGGTGCTGGGTGGGGGTTGGGCAGGGATTGAAGACCCCAAGCAAGGCTGCCAACAGGCAGGGAGGAAGACAGGGTGCTTGATTCCAGGCTCAGGCAGAGAAGGGCCCTCCCTGAACGCAGCTGGGTCCTGAGGGCAGGTTGGTGGGTGTCTGAGACACACTGTGAGGGTGCCCAGTCCGGGCTGCTGGGAGCAAACGGTAAGGAGGTGTGCCGAGCAGGGACACCCTGGAGGCAGGCACGGCTGTCAGGAGGATGGCACCTACCTGGGCGTGTCCCAGGCCCTCTTGCCCCCCCCAGGGGCAAGTCCTCC